TTCTATGTTCTCTAATGAAATATAGATTCACCCAGAGTGGGCGTGGCCACAAGTCGGCGGCAGCGAGATTCGAAAGCCAACTGGTTAGTCAAAACCCAAGCAGTTAGCCAATTCCGCTCATTGACACGCAGATCGCCGCAAACCAACCGATCTGACACATACCGCGTGTGGAACTATGGAAAAAGTGGTCGGAACTATTTCCGCTTTGTGTCAACACAGGTGGCGCTATTCGGTTGGTTTGCGGCGATCTGTGTGTCAATGCAATATTGAGAAAAATTAGACCTTTGACCTCCCAATTTACATGCATTTTAATGTTAATAAAATAAGATATTCTGATGAGTGTTGTGTGTTATTTTAATTTATCAACTCATTAAAGATTAAATCTTGCTAAAAATCGAGAGAGGATGTGTTCAAAACAAGAAAAATACATGTATATAGTTCCGCGGCAGAAACGCTGAGAAAAATGGTAGCGGATGGATATGTAGCCTTCAGAGGCTTGTTTATGCGTCATAAGACACAGGTCTGTGCTGAATAGCGCCACCTGTGTTGACACAATGCAATTCGCTAGCAAGTTTGCAAATTGGCTGCCCCAATACTTCTGAGACTTGCTGTAAACGAGAGTGTTTGTAGGATGATGCTCGCTTGTACAATGTATGTATGCTGCAATAGTATATCTCACTGCCGACTTTAATTCGTGTATTATAATGTATTCATTGTTGCATATATTTTCAGAAACATTCAAAAATAATGTCAGTTTTTCATGAATTTAATCTGGTCTTTATGAACGACATTTTGGATACGGTCTGCGGTTTTGAACTATTCTTCACTGCCAACATTATAATTAATATATTTTTTTTAATTTTTATTATGGTTTTATTTCAGACATAGTGCATATATAAAGAAAAAGATACAAACAAATAATGAGTAACACTAACACTAGTTATAAATACTAATATTGAGCCTAATTTAAGCCAAAGTACAAAAAGAGTAATTGTCCGAAATATTTTTTTTAAATATATATACATTCAGAAAGAAGAAATTTTTCTTAAACATATCTTCGGGGGTGGAGCTACGTCACGGACGTTCTACGTTGCTAAGATGCGCACCACTGTACCACGTATTTCTATGGGCTTTGTGCGCGCTGCTGTGGAACGCCGGTGGAGCCGGTGAAAACTCGAGAAAACAACACAAACTCAACTTTGAAGTAATCCTGAACAACCAAATTGATATATGTTACACACGTAGGGCTAATCTTGTTACACTGTTCAGGGGACTCTCATCAACCATCGCAAAGTACCGTTTTCTGAGAGTTTTCGGCCTTTGTTTTCACCGTGATGGTTGCCATGCGGTGAAAATGTCCGAATGTCCGCCCCGGGAATTGTGGGTAATGTGTTAAAGGTTCACACTTCAAATATTTACAACAGCATAAAATGCCGACGCCCTCTAGTGACAAGACGCTCCTGTAACTCCAAAATGGCGCATATGGGAGAAAACAATGCTGTGTAATTCGACAAAATGTCATGTCTTTATTTGCGTAGGTAGTCGTTCGTCATTTGGAACTTAATAAAATTGCAATCTACATTGTTAAGAGACTACAGATCAAAACGATATCGACGTTATGAACGGCCTTTGTTTCACTCTTTTACGTCATGGAAGCTCTTCATCAATATAATTAGTGTAAATTTGTTTTAGATGGATGGATCAGATCAGCTGATTGAAGGGCGGTAGCCGTCGCGCCACGCATGCGCGAGACATATGGGTCTCATAAAAACAAAGATGGCGATTCCTCAGAGAGCACCGTATACAAACTGAGACGTTGCCAAGCTTTAATTATGTATTTTTAGGTGATTGGAAGGTATCGAATGAGTCACCGGCGATAATTAGTGCAAGTCGAGCCCAGGTCAAACCTCATACTTGTGATTCCCATCAGAAGAGAGCATTGGATTGTGGGAAAATCAATGTTTATCAACACAAATGTCCTACATGCGCAGCGCGACGACTACCGCCCTTTAATATTTCTTATTGAAATCTGATGTCTTAATCAGAACATATTTAAATTGTCGATCAGAATTATAACAGTAATGGTCTCGGACTCTTTGGTGATGTCCAACTGTTGGCAAGACATGACCCGGTCATAAAAAATGCGGACATCCCAACTATTGTATTGGATACATGTCACGTGTTTCTTATTACGTCAAATAAAGTAAAGTATGAAAGATAATATAGCTTTTTTTCATTTTTTTTAAAGTAAAAATCTTCCAAACAAATTGAACAGGTTAAGAAATCTATTGGTAAGTAAAGTAACAACGTATAATACATCACACGTATTAGAAAACTTGAGGAAATAATTTATTGTTATTTTTAGGGAATGAGAATGGAATTGAAGATTAAATGTCATCCACCTTATGCTATCGTTATTAATGTTTATTATTTAACTAAACAAACAGAATTTAGTCACTAGATATTAGAAATAAAAAAAGAAAAATGATTCGGAAATTGACATGTTTTCTATTGTGAAATTGTTTCTTTCTATCTCGAGATACTGAGTGTGCTTCTTTATACTAATATGCAACTAGTTTATAAAACGCTGTTAATAGTTATAAAGCCGAGGGATTAACGTTAACTATGCACAGTTATCTTACCTTTAAATTAGCGTCAATGTTGCTGTTGCGAATTATCTTTAGCCAATTTTCTTGGAGTTCTGGGCATGGTTGCTATTGTGAGTGCTGTTGCAGTTGTAGTTGTGAAAAGTGTTGAAAGCAGTGTCAGGGGCAATGTGACGGGTGAGTTTCTTGTGATATCAGAGCAAATGATCCACCAAAACTTTTAATTAATTAATTAACCAGTCCTAATCAGATATGATATATATTTGGTAATCGTTGTTCTAAGTAACACTTAAAAATAGCTAGTCGTTTCGAGCAATGGCTATTCATCAATAGTATACAGGGATTTGTTTAAACTGGGGAACAGGGACGCAGCGTCCTCATGCCATGACCATGCGTCCCCTTACCCTGGGGAGGAGATCCTCTGGCAACCATCAAATTCTGATTGACCAGGGAACACTTGTGGCCACAGTCTACAACTGTGACCTGTCTGATTGTAATTTTGGCCGCAAGGAAGACATAGAATTATCAAAAACTCCACACCCTGGTAGGGAGAAACCTATCTCCCCCACTTGGTGGCGTCGCTGAATTGCAGTGCTTCATCTTGCAGTCCCTGGTAGACGTAAAGGTTTTGGCTCGCATATTTATTTTTAAAATTTATAGACAATGATTACCAAATATTATCTATTATATATCATATTTATCGGTTCGAGCAGCGTTTATTTATTAACTACTAATCAGATATGTACCCATAACATAATAGATAATTATTAACACGCAGTCTCACAATATTCGAGTTCAAATTGAAAATACAATTCAACAGGGGCATAGAATAAAATTTCCTATTACATGAAATGCATCATGTTTACGACTGTGTAAAGCCTAACACATCTATTACAGCGAGACATGTCGCAATATTTCCAACAACTACATGTATGTGTAAGATTACCATGTAACCATCGATTCACAATTATTTTTCAAAAGCATATAATCATGTACTAAACAGTTCTCTTATATATAAGAACGAAGAGGGAAAAAAAGAAACGATGTATAATAATAGCATATTTCATTACATATACTAAATTGTCGCTGATACCGAATCACGATGTTTGACAATATATATGTATGCATACTTTCAACCATTTTGCCCAAGAGACAGGATCTCTCTGTGTACTTAGGAACAAGTAAAACACTCAACATAACATAATTTGATACACAGGCTTGCACTGACTGTATACTAATAAATAGAAATATATAGTATGCATCTCCCACTATGGATAACGTTTTTATACACATTAGTTACGCATCAACAATAATTATTATAAAAAAAAATTGCAAAGTTAAATCAATAATACTTGTTTTCACCTTTGACTTGCAGATGTCAGTACACCTGGTATGATTGTAGTACCATCTATTACGCTCACCTCACCGCTATATGATAATGCTACTACTACTCGAGGTAAAAATATTTTTTTTCGAAGCCGGTCACTCAATATTACCCGTCCATCTATTTGGAGTACTAAATTAAATTGAAGCAAATAGCGGTGTTACAATGCATATATTGAAACATTAAGATTATCATAATACTATTGTATTTGATTTCTTTTCATAGCTTTGTTATATATATGTATATTTTTTTTATTTTTGCTCTCTGACACGAACGAAGAAAAACAGACATATCAATATGAATCTTGATATGCGCTAACGCACTGTAATGGCGGTATTGTTAATGAACGCTAACTCAGAATCGAATATTCGGATCTGTGTTGTACTTTTTTTAAATACATGTATATTGACACATAAGCGAGTTACAGTTACAGGGGGAGTCACCATCCTCAGTACGATTATTCAATATCCCTTAATGAATTCTTATTTCCTATAAGTCTACCTGGGCTTGTTGTCCAAAAGTAATTTGGCCAAAAACCCTGGGACTGATTGACGTACGCGATATTTTCGTATTCAAATTTATTCTCGGAAATACACAAACGTGCGGTTATTTTAAAGTGATACAGTCAACCGTTTGTAATAGAGTATATTGTTAATTTTTCTAATTTCAGAAGTTACTTTATCAACTAAAATAAGTAATTATACTGCCACATCCACTCTGTTGACGTCACTGCCCAGTACCATTTCTAACCAAGGTATGTGGCATTAATTACTAATCGATAAGTAATATATTTCAGGCTATAACTAGGTTTCTACATTCTAACGGTCGTTACTGCAACATACTATATAAATCTTCAAACAAGATGTAACTACTGGTTTTACAATACCTCTTTTTTTTCGTTTTTTTCCAGATGTTACCACACGTACTATGTCCACACACAGTGTTAACACAGAGACGCTGTTGACACACAATGTTCCAACTACTCGAAACCCAGGTAAAAGTAATACATAGAAGACAAATGAATGTTCTTTAAGTTAATACAGCCAACATTTTTTTTTAAATCATAAACATTCGTATATTTGTACTTTCAGATGACACTACGCTGTCTATGCACACAGATTCTGAAACGTCACAGACATCGGTGCTACTGACGTCATTTGTTCACACTACTATAAAACCAGGTAAATACTAATCTAACAAAAATCATAAATATTTATTTGAGCTTTCTCAGAGGAAAAATAATTAATTTAATTTCAGATGTTAAAACAGAGACTGTAGATACAGATGCCACACACACAATGGGACCACGGACGCTGTTTGCTCGCACAACTTTGAAACCAGGTGCAGTTAATTACTAAATTTTCACGAGAAATGTATAGTTCGTCGCGTAGACAGTTCATCATCATTTCATTGTCTCCTGGTGAAGAATATGACCACCATCTCTCCTCCTCCGTGTTTCTCTGTCCTAGCCGCTAATTCTGCCTCTGAGCATGCCCAAGTCTTCAATCCCAATTCTTTTCTTTTCTACAGTTCTTCTCTAATTCTCTTTTGGTCTTGCCACATTCCCTTTTCCCTCTGGTGCCCATGTTAAAGCGATTCTTGGTATGTCATCCGGTTCTATGCGTAACACATGTCAAACCCACTTCCACCGCCTGATTCTACAATTATAATTTCGTAAACAGTTACGCTGACATTAATTTTGTGCGGAAAAAGAAAACTTCGGTGGGCGCCCTCTCGCGAAGACTTAATTATGCATTTATGAATATTAATGAGCTGGCACCAAACAAAGAAAGTAATACATAATATCGATACAATAGCTGTTATTTCTTATCATCATTGTACCCGAGATTATATGTATCATACCTGTTTATTATTTTATATTTACTTAAAAAGATTCTACACGTATTCTGCACACTACAGATGTAACAACGACGGAGTTACCAACGTCCATTGTTCACACTACAAGAAAACCAGGTAACTAAACTGCAAAAGATTGAGTAGTGTAGTGTAGTGAATCGAGTTGTACGTTTTAGTCGTTTGTTCGACAGCAATGACTGGATTTCATTTTCTATGTGTTAACTCTAGCGAATACATGTATAAAAACGACGAACATTCAGTACGGAAAAAAAACTTAATAGCTGTTAAAATATCTTTATCCAACTTGACAACATGCGCTCGGTAAACATACGGCTTGACGTTCTGCTTCTTTCTATTCAAGTGTAAACGTCGTGGGTCATTTGCATAGTATGCAATGCAAAAACAAACAAACAAAAAAACGTTAACATACAAATCTACCACAAATGGTCGTGTGGTGGCGTGTGATTAGTTTTAACAAATACATGTTACATTATACACAACATAAATGTTTTACAGATGCCTCTACACGTGACCTGCATACTAATGACGTCACTACGATGGGGTTATCAACCCTTAAACCAGGTAAACAAAACCGATTATTAATCTCAACTGTATACAGAACATATCAATTATTATTTATATGAATATGAATATTTTAAACTGATATCTAATTACTCGCCAAGTATTTGTTAGTAGTGTAATTTATTGTTTAAAATTCTTATAAATCATGGTGCAGCGCCACCCTGCGGCCCGATTACAAATGGTATGACGTCAGTCGGATATATGCTTGCTCATTCTGGACACTAATTCATGATAGCGATTCTTTTTCTTCATATGAATAAAACAATCCATCGCCAGAATAGAGAATCGAGACTCATGGTAGTTGGGTTGTTTTATTCGGGGTACATGGCGGTGGAGTACACACTTTCTCTCTCGGGGTGGGCCCAAAATGGCAAAGTCCTTAGAACACGCACGATCGCGATAAAATGCGTAGTCAAGTCATGTGCAATAGTTGAGTCTCTAGTGTACTGGGCACATTCTTTTATTAAGGACACTCACGTGTATTAGCGTCACGTGATTCAAAACGCCAGATCAAAAATGAGGATCGAGACTCACGGGGGATAAGTGGTAATTGTAGAACTTTATTCAAGAAAAGACGGCGGACACAAGATATAGTGTATACGCTGTCAATCTGAGCGACGTCCATGTAAGTTGACACGACAAAGTGCGTATTTAAGCCAGGTACGGGATGGTGTTTATCTCGTTCCTCAAACCATTTCTTTTAAAACCCACCTGAGCCGAATATACGTCTCAAAGTGCCTGACCTGATTCGACAATATTTATAATGATTCGGTATCATGTGTCAACAGCTTCCCGTGCGTCATTGCGGGGGTATATCATAATAATATTTCTGTTTTTCTTTTAGAAAACCAAACACAAATTTTGAATACAAACACCGTTACCACGATGGGGCTACCAACGCCATTTATACACACTACTCCAAAATCAGGTAAATCGCCGAAGTTATTATGTTATCCAAAGCACTGCCCACCGTGTCGCGTATAGATATTAGTCCCATTCAACGTAAACAACGCATGTAAAAAAAACTTTAATTGTTTATTGAAAATTCCAAGGGGCAATTGCCAAATAAATCTGGTTTTACTTTCAAGGTGTGATTTTATATTTCTAACGGAGTTACCAACGCCAATTATGCTAATTACTACAGAAACAGATTCATTTACATATGCCAATCACGTCAATTTATTCGTATTATATAAATTGTGAAAACAGTGGTATCAATATAACGTTTTAACAGCGTATTAACAGATATGACATAAATAAATTCCACAATCTTGATATTTATCGCGTGTACGAGGAGCTAATAACGAAACAACAAAAATGCTAATACAAAATCATACCCAAATGTGATCGCTAGCACTACCTATGATCGTTATTTTTTACATTTATGAGATCAATAAAACAGGGCACATTTTAGAGTAGAACTCATCTCACAAACATAATGTCGACTGTTTACCAGTAACCATGGATACGCCGTCCACAAATACTGTTACGACAGAATCATTACAGTCTTCAACGCTTAGTACAAAAGCAGTTAATCATTATTTTGACTTATAATTTAAAACAGGGCATTTTCAACATTATAACACATGTATTACATTGAAACAAATTACATTCATGTGCTGTAAATTTGAAACATTGAACCATCTCATAAACATGACATTATTTTTTTAAAGTAATAACGAATAATGCAACTACAAAAGTTGCCACTGACTCATTACCATCTTCATTGTTAATTTGCATAAAATCGGTAAAACAAAGCATGTGTCATTTAGTAGCTTTAAACTAATCTCACACTCCAGCTACGACGGTTGAGACTACACCAGGTATGACTACAATATCCGTTACCACCAAATTGTTACCAACTACTATTGCTAGCACTACACTAGGTAATCAGTGTTTACATCTAAAAGACTATTTAAACAAATAATCTTTGTAGTATATTGCATTTATTGCATTGAAACGATTTTACGGACATGATATCGATATGTTTCCTAATAACCGCAGATACTACAACTACAATAGTTACCACAGAATCGTTACCAACTACTATTGCTAGCACTACAACAGGTAATCAGTGTTTATATTCTTAACTCTGTTTAAACAAAGCATATTTAATAGTACATTACTTATAATGTATTGGAACTATACTGATATAATATCGATTTTTTACAATAACTGTAACTGGAATAGTTACCACCGACTCATTACCAACTACTATTGGTAGCACTACACCAGGTAATCAGTGTTTATATTCCTAACTCTGTTTAAACAAAGCATATTTAATAGTACATTACTTATAATGTATTGGAACTATACTGATATAATATCGATTTTTTACAATAACTGTAACTGGAATAGTTACCACCGACTCATTACCAACTACTATTGGTAGCACTACACCGGGTAATCACTGTTTACATTTATAAAACTGTTTAAACAAAACATGTTCAATAGTATATTAATTGTAATGTATTAGAACAATTCTATAGATATAATATCGATTTTTTTCAATAACGACAGACTCTACAACTAGAATAGTTACCACCGAATCGTTACCAACTACTATTGTTAGCACTACACCAGGTAATCAGTGTTTACGTTTATAAGTATGTTTAAACAAAGCATGTTTAATAGTATATTAATAAATCTATTGTATTGAAACAATTCTACAGATGTAATATCGATTTTTTTTTACAATAACGACAGACTCTACAACTAGAATAGTTACCACCGAATCGTTACCAACTACTATTGTTAGCACTACACCGGGTAATCACTGTTTACATGTATAAAACTGTTTAAACAAAACATGTTTAATAGTATATTTCTTGTAATGTATTAGAACAATTCTACAGATATAATATCGATTTTTTTTCCAATAACCACAGACTCTACAACTAGAATAGTTACCACCGAATCGTTACCAACTACTATTGCTAGCACTACACCAGGTAATCAGTGTTTACGTTTATAAGTATGTTTAAACAAAGCATGTTTAATAGTATATTAATAAATCTATTGTATTGAAACAATTCTACAGATGTAATATCAATTTTTTTTACAATAACGACAGACTCTACAACTAGAATAGTTACCACCGAATCGTTACCAACTACTATTGCTAGCACTACACCAGGTAATCAGTGTTTACGTTTATAAGTATGTTTAAACAAAGCATGTTTAATAGTATATTAATAAATCTATTGTATTGAAACAATTCTACAGATGTAATATCGATTTTTTTTCCAATAACGACAGACTCTACAACTAGAATAGTTACCACCGAATCGTTACCAACTACTATTGCTAGCACTACACCAGGTAATCAGTGTTTACGTTTATAAGTATGTTTAAACAAAGCATGTTTAATAGTATATTAATAAATCTATTGTATTGAAACAATTCTACAGATGTAATATCATTTTTTTTACAATAACTACAGATACTATCACTACGATGGTTACCACTGAATCGTTACCAACTACTATTGCTAGCACTACACCAGGTAATCAGTGTTTACATCTAAAAGACTATTTAAACAAATAATCTTTGTAGTATATTGCATTTATTGCATTGAAACGATTTTACGGATATGATATCGATATGTTTTCTAATAACCGCAGATACTACAACTACAATAGTTACCACCGAATCGTTACCAACTACTATTGCTAGCACTACACCAGGTAATCAGTGTTTATATTCCTAACTCTGTTTAAACAAAGCATATTTAATAGTACATTACTTTTGATGTATTTGAACTATACTGATATAATATCGTTTTGTTTCCAATAACTGTAACTGGAATAGTTACCACCGAATCGTTACCAACTACTATTGTTAGAAATACACCAGGTAATCACTGTTTACATGTATAAAACTGTTTAAACAAAACATGTTTAATAGTATATTACTTGTAATGTAATGAACAATTCTACAGATATAATATAATATTTTTTTTACAATAACCACAGACTCTACAACTAAAATAATTACCACCGAATCGTTACCAACTACTCTTGTTAGCACTACACCAGGTAATCAGTGTTTACGTTTATAAGTATGTTTAAACAAAGCATGTTTAATAGTATGTTAATAAATCTATTGTATTGAAACAATTCTACAGATGTAATATCATTTTTTTACAATAACTACAGATACTATCACTACGATAGTTACCACCGAATCTTTACCAACTACTATTGCTAGCACTACACTAGGTAATCACTGTTTACATTCATAAGACTGTTAAAACAAAGCAACTTTGTATATTGCATTTATTGCCTTGAAACAATTCTACAGATATAATATTGATATTTTTCCCAATAACCACAGATACTGCAAGTACAATAGTAATCAGTATATAGATGTCGTATTTTAAATTGAAAGAAATATTATTTTATTATTTTGGGATTTTTTTCTTTTCCACTTGATTATTCATTAGTTGTTTTGGCTATTCTCAGTATATTCTAAATTTATGTTTCGAACCTCGGTTGAAATAGGTGATTTTCCGTACAATTGCGAGATCTCGCGAGATGCATGAAAGACGCGCGTCAAACGTCTGCCGCAAAAATCGAACGATTTGATTTTGAACTAGAATTTCTTTATTTCGTAGCCTTACATTGACCGGCCGATCTTCGACAGAGGAATATTGTTCCGAATACCCTTACTTAATCGAAATTGCCTATCATCAAATGTGGACAGCACATTATTAAGCATGGAAATGTCCCCCGAAATACTTTCGCGTTTGTCGAATCCCACGCGATGTTTGACGCCGACTACGACGCTGATGACCTTTGTTTGTCCTGTTTTTACGTTCGATTTCACGCATAACGCGTGATTCTCGCAGTGAACGGAAAATGGTCTATTAAGCAATATCTTTAGTGATTTCATACCTCTTGAAGGCACAGTTATCTGCTAAGTCATCTAAAATGTAATGTTCAACGTTTATTTTATTGTAATTTTGCACCAAGTAATCACAACTTACATATTCTAGTACGGGGACAAGACCAGTGTTGATGTGTAATAGTAATCTTTCAGGAAACACATACTTGGACATAGGGTGCTCCAGGTACCATTTCTACAATGAAGTTAAAATGACTTGGGAATCCTCCTCAGCGCAGTGTGTGGACGACGGTGGGGCAATTGCTTCAATCCATACTCAAATAATTTTCAGCCAGGTACGACAGTTTATTATCAATGGTGGTTTCGATGATGGTTCAACGAATTATTGGATTGGCTTAAACGACATTGACACTGAAGGTACCTTCGTATGGGCGAATGGTGAACCTTTGACGTTCACACGCTGGGCTGGTTCTAACCCGAATAACAGCGGAAATCAAGATTGTGTCCAAATGTGGTAAAGCACTACTTTATTTTTATATATTATGCACTCGGGTAATGGGTCATTTCAGTGACGTGAAAATACAAAATATATGAAAACGACATAAGTGTTGTTAATATAGTAAATTTCCGTGCAAACATGGCCGTTCGTAGATCCATGTAATGAACCCATGTAAGAGGGCGCAATTTATAGTAAAGCTATTTACGAGATTTACTTTGTTGATGGTCGTCAGAGATGTAATGTACTATAAATATAGACGCCCATGGTGTAAAGTCATCAGTGTGTATTAATACAAAACAGACATTCTTTTATTTATTTTTACAAATATAACGAGACATTTCAAACAAAAACAGAATATAATGGTGGTGGTGGTGGTTGTTACATAAATGAATTTTAAATTCTTTAGTTTGTAAAACATATTTTTGCATATATTTGTTCACCGGAAGTCAACATTTTGATGGGCATAGTTGCCTCAGCAAAAACATAACTGGCAGTCGGCATTTTACATTTTTTTAACAATATCTTAGGTCTAAAACTACTATCCATCACACATCATGTGCACGTTACATTTCCACCTAGATTCAAATCAAAATCGATTTAAATTAAAAAAATCTAAAAAAAAATCGGAGATGATAATGATGATTACGATAAAGATGTGTTCGCATAACTATTTTACAGGGTTAACAATCTATATAAATGGGACGATAGCCAGTGCACCAAGAAAAATGGCTATATTTGTCAAAAGTACGTTTATGTTATTTTGATGTTATTACCTTATTATTATACATCGTTTCAAGGATACATCATGGGAATGCCAAAATCCAAAATGTTTAGAACAGAATCAGCAAACTTCTTTGTGTGGAGTCCGGTCAAACCTCGGTGGTAGCCATGTTTGTTTTTATTATTAGAGGACGCTTACGCGCATAATCATTCCATATTTGGAATTCGCATTTCCTAATATGGTAAGATGAAAATACCCCGAAAAATAAAGCAAAATTACGGCACGCTGTAACTTATGGTGATACGGTGACAGATGTATAATAATAAACATTTAGCATGCACCAACACCACTCAAAAATATAACTTTGACCGTGGATCATGAAACATCAGGCATATTTAGTTAAAGGACGGTGGTCATCGCGCTGCGCGTGTGCGACATTTGTATTGGCAAACATAAATTTACCACAATCCAATGCGCTCTTCTAATGAAAATCGCAAGTATGAGGTTTGACCTGGGCGCGACTTGCACTAATCACCATCGGTGACTCATTCGATACCTTCCAATCATTTAAAAAATACCTAATTAAAGCTTGGTAACGTCTCAGTTTGTACTCGTTGATCTGCGCAACAGTCAAAGTCGCCATCTTTGTTTATATCAGACCCATATATCTCCCCCATGCGTGGCGCTTCGACTACCACCCTTTAAAGAACAACCCTCACGCCCTTTAGCGTTGAAGTGCTTGTGTGAAGTAAAAGAATATTAATCTTATTTCCCTATGTGTATATATTGCTTCAGTCAGTAGATTTCATATATAAGAAATACATCGTTTCTTGATTTGATAAGCATTATATGCGGCGAACGACTGGCTTTACACGGACAAAGATACATAGTGGGCGCTTCATCGCTGGAGTGCACGGTTGATAGGAGTAGTGCATTATTACGTTGCCTGATATTGATATGTAGATTTGGAACGCACGTAGCATGACGTCATCATATAACACACCTTTGCATCAGCTGTCACTGTAGTCGTGAAACGATTACCAGTTTGAATATAATGTATACGTTTTTTTCTTTCCGCAGGACGATTTGCTAATGGTACTTCCTTCGCATTGATCAAGTGGAAGAGATATTTGGAAAACAAATGTTGTTTTTAATGTTTTTTTCATTTAATGTAATTAGTTGACAAAACGGTATAATTATTGCATATTTAGATGATATAAGTGACATTCGAGTGTGTTTGGTAGTAGTGGAAATATGACCTCTCTAATTAAATTAGCGTATATTTCACAAGATAAAATTAAAGGGCGGTAGTCGTCGTGCCGCGTCCTGTTCGATATGGGACTCATAGCTACATATACAACGCGTGTAAAATACATTGTTTATTTACATGAAATTCGAACACGCGCTGCACGACGACCACCGCGCTTTAACTATCAAACACATTAGCAAGTATTCTCGGAATAACCTCATGATATTCAAATTCCAGTGTTTGAGTCACAACTTTCGCGTGAGTTGGCGAGGCGCATGAAGAGGTTGCCAATACTAGTATATTTATATTTATATAAACAGTCTTGCGCTTTTGCTGCACATAAACAAAAGCCAATCAAAATTTAATGTAATTGCGATTAATCTCATTTTTTGACAATATTTACAAAAAGGACGATGACATTGATGAATTCATCGCCGGCGCATCGTGTATTATTTCAACGATATGGGACAAATTGCAGGGGAATCATGGGTAGGATGGAAGTATCGCAAAATTTTAAATAATTATTACTCGTACCATGTCTCTCTCTGTTGTTATCCGAAGCACTATATTAGAATCGTTGATAATCTCGATTCAGTTATACGTTTGAATCACTTTGTTCAGTGTCGTGGACGAATCGTAAATATTCTAGTGTTATATATACGATGATTATCCCGAATATACAAATAATAAATTGGTGTGTTCTTAAAATAAACATATTCGTACATTGACCTTATATCATTCTGTTTGTTACATGCGATTGCCACACGTAAGATCCGGGTCTATAAATATGTAAATTAGATGACGTCATTGGGTAAATTCTAAACAAGTATAACTGCACTATCAATGCTGGATTCGAACTTGAGCTCATGGTTGAGATCACGTGATATTTTGTGAGATCGGTCATTTTTTAAGATATTTAAAACAATATAGTATAAGTTCAATGTTTGTAATTATTGAGAGAGATGGGATTATTAAAGAAATATTGCCATGCTGTGGTCGTGAACAATGACTTCTATGATGATAATTACTACTTGTAGCCAATATTTTAACATTACAAACAAACACACACACACACACATTATAGCCACAAGCATCATCAGCGGGATCTAACCGGAAGCGAAATATTGTATGACTTGATAATATATATGTGGATGTAGTGAATCTTAGGGTCACGTGTGATGTACGTTTGAACAAACACTATACAGCTTTGCCATTGTTGCCAGGAAATACAAAACGGCAGCGCAACCACGTGACTAATCAAAATTATTTTCTTATTCGGAACAGAATGACAAATCTGTAGCTCTCGATTTCTTGGTATCTTGGTGTGAGTTGGCCTGACATGTGGACGTTACACGCCTACCGGCATCAGACCCGGAGGGCAACTCCCGTCTAACGTCTAACATTCTATATTTTATCTCAAACAAGTTCATGATCTCTATGTCCAACTGGAAATCCAGAATGGGAAAATGTCATATATTATTTTTTTATATTGAATATCCTGTGAAGAGTCTCTGGTGAAATTTTCTAAATAGATGTTGGACATCTGGGAAGAAATTCTATGCTAGCAAAGTTGCAACAGAAATATTGGATCCTATGTGCAAACACTCTCATTAGACAGATAGATTCAAGATGCGTCTTCTGTCGTCGTTACCGAGCCAGATGATGGATGATTTGCATATTGATCGTTTAACCCCAGGGAAAGCACCATTCAATCGTACTGGTGTAGATTACTTTGAACCAATATAAGTCAAACGAGGACGCAGTAGGGTCAAGAGATATTGAATTATTTTACATGCTTGACAACCCGTGCAATACATCTTGACTCCTGTATTAATGGATTAGGATGGTTCATAGCCAGAAGAGGGCCAGTCAATGTGATAAGGTCAGATAATAGTACAAGGGGTAAAAAGAGAACTTCAAGAATAGATTGGAAAATGGAAGTGAAAATAAGCGGGGCATTACGTCACGACAATGTAACATGGACGTTCAACCCTCCAGCTGGTTCGCATTTCGGGGGCATCTAGGAACGTCAGATTAGAACAATAAGAAAGATTACATTCTCCCTGCTCATAGAACAAATGATGAGTATAGATGATGAATCACTTCAAACACTATTCTACGAGGTTGAAGCTATCGCAAATAGTCGAATTTCAGATGACCAAAACGAACTTGAGAAACTCACACCCAATCATTTATTATTGCTTCAAACAAATCAAAACTCACCACCTGGTATATTCACAAGTAGCGACAATTATGCTCGTCGCCGACATATTCTGGAAGAGATGGACTAAAGAATATTTACCATCATTGCAAGAGAGACAGAAATGGTTACAGCCTCGAAGAAATTTGGCAGTTGGAGATGTGGTGCTAATAGTTGATAATTCAGCCCCTCGAAACTCATGGCCTCCAGGAAGAGTCATCAAAACCATGACAGACAATAAAGGATTGGTTCGTGTTGTTAACGTGAAGACCAGGACAAATATTTTGGAACGCCCAGTGGACAAATTATGCCTGCTTCTAGAGGCTGGCTGTATTACTGGTACGGTTAAGTGTTGAGATATGTCCAGGGTGATGGTTTCTGGCATGCGAAGATTAGGCAGTTGCAGATACTGCAGGTGCCCTTGTGATACGCGCTGCTTATGTGTGGCTGACATTTATATCATTGTTACTCTAGTGACTTACTTTGGCCTTATTTGTAGGGATTCATAATTGTTCCATATAAATTCTCCACAATTAGAGGACCGGAGTGTTAGGGCCAGATCAACATTTTGTGTATTTAATTGCTCTTATATTTTTTGTATTTACTGCATGCTATGATATATATTATTTACTGTGAACTTGGATAAAACCATGTGGCGAATAGCGCCACCCAGAGTTATTGGTGAAAGTTATTCATAGTGTCAAGATCAGTTTTTATCTGAGACTAAAAACAGATGGGTTGGCAGTGTGACTCGGCCAACTGTACGGTACAGATGTACGTCTTTGAGATCCATCAATATCTTGCTATTGTAAACCGTTTCACTGGGAATTGATTGGCTAGGAAGGTCTA